AAAAAAAAAAATTTGGCCAGAACTTGGAATTTTCTTTTCCCACCAAAATGGTGGGAAAAGGAAGTCCCTAAAATTAAGGAAAATGGGCGCGTGGGGTGGGGGGAGGGAAAACTTTTTCTAGGCAAAATTTAAGCCATCAAACATGGCTTAAGGGTGGAAATGGAATTACTTTTCCATTTTCCATGGAATTCCAGCCCCATCAAACAGGGCCTTAATTCTTATTGTTATAAAATGAATAACAAGTGTGTAAAGACCAATTCTACATTATGGGAAAGTGCACAAATACTTAATACATCTTTTCATATCAAACATACATAACATCCCTTACATTTCACTTTACTTTTCTATACAGCATTGACATATTTGTTAGATTGAAGTTCATGTACAACCATGCTACTAATTTCGATAGAATATTTATTCTATCTTAAACGAGATCTTCTATAATCTTGCAGGTAAAGAGTTTGTTCTTCAACTCAACAACTTGGCAGGTTAGGAAATTTTGAGAGAAATTGAAGTTGCTTCACCAATGGAATCAAGGTCTCCATTAGTTTCTCACAAGGATGATTGTGAATGCCTTCATACGTTGTCACAACAATGCTAGTGTCTTTCGCGAGTCTCTGAATCTGTTTCTTTACATTGCATGTATGGTGCGTGCAACGATAGTAGCTCCTTAGTGACACAACAAAAATGAGGTTTATTAATATATCTTTTAATGGAAATTAAGACAATTAATCGGGATAGCAAAGTAATAAAAATATTTGATTCTCTTATAATTTTAAGTGTCAAAATATATTTATTCAGTCGAAATAGATCATGAAGTGGTTCTTAATTAAGGTTTGGTTTATGTTTCAATTTTCAGGTGTGAGTTCATTTTCAGTTTTTTGTTTTCAGGATTTATTTTAAGATTGCTAAAAATACATTTAGTTTGTCATTTTGAAAAATTATTTTTAAAACGGAAAACTAGAGAACGTGTTTGGTTTAGGATTTTTACAAATTGTTTTATGACTTTTTATTTCAAGAAATTTGATTATTTAGTAAAAATTACTATATTATCAAGTAATATATATATTTTAAAGTTGATAAATCTTACAATATTTTTTCTACCTACAAATTAAAATTTAAATAAATAATTAATGACGTAGACTGAAAATATTTTTATCTATGTTCATTTAAATATTTCTTTAAAAAAATTATGTAAATAATCATTAAGAGTTTGAATTATTTTTATTTTTCTAGAATTTTTTACAATTTTTTTTTTTTAAATTTAGAGATATCTTTTTTTAGAATTTTAGATTTTATTTTCTCAAATTTTTTATTTTTACATTTTAGAATCTATCAATTTTATTTTTTGAGTTTTATTTTTTTTAAATTTTATTTGTTAGAAGTTCATATTTTTATTTTCTAAAATTCACAATTTTTAAAATTTTATTCAAAACGTTTATTTTTCATGTTTTAAGTAAAAACATTCAAAATGTTTTGAGTTTTATATCATAAGTTTAACCTTGTTTTTTAAAATGAATTTGCAGAAATACCATACCAAACACATTTTCAGTGTTTTGCAAGATTGAAAAACTTCATACGTTGTCACAACAATGCTAGTGTCTTTCGCGAGGCTCTGGAGCTGTTTCTTTACATTGCATGTATGGTGCGTGCAACGATAGTAGCTCCTTAGTGACACAACAAAAATGAGGTTTATTAATATATCTTTTAATGGAAATTAAGACAATTAATCGGGATAGCAAAGTAATACAAATATTTGATTCTCTTATAATTTTGAGTGTCAAAATATATTTATTCAATCGAAATAGATCGTGAAGTGGTTCTTAATTAAGGTTTGGTTTATGTTTCAATTTTCAGGCGTGAGTTCATTTTCAATTTTTTGTTTTCAGGATCTATTTTAAAATTGCTAAAAATACATTTAGTTTGTCATTTTGAAAAATTATTTTTAAAACAGAAAACTAGAGAACGTGTTTGGTTTAGAATTTTTACAAATTGTTTTGTGACTTTTTATTTCAAGAAATTTGATTATTTAGTAAAAATTAATATATTATCAAGTAATATATATATTTTAAAGTTGATAAATCTTACAATATTTTTTCTACCTACAAATTAAAATTAAAATAAATAATTAATCACGTAGACTGAAAATATTTTTATCTATGTTCATTTAAATATTTCTTTAAAAAATTTATGTAAATAATCATTAAGAGTTTGAATTATTTTTATTTTTCTAGAAATTTTTACAATTTTTTTTTTTTAATTTAGAGATATCTTTTTTTAGAATTTTAGATTTTATTTTCTCAAATTTTTTATTTTTACATTTTAGAATCTATCAATTTTATTTTTTAAGTTCTATTTTTTTAAAATTTTATTTGTTAGAAAGTTCATATTTTTATTTTCTAAAATTCACAATTTTTAAAATTTTATTCAAAACGTTTATTTTTCATGTTTTAAGTAAAAAACATTCAAAACGTTTTGAGTTTTATATCATAAGTTTAACCTTGTTTTTGAAAATGAATTTGCAGAAATACCATACCAAACACATTTTCAGTGTTTTGAGAAATTGAAAATTGAAAACAACTTGAAAACAGCAAACCAAACACACTCTTAATTTTTTGAGAAAATTACAACTACTTGGGACTTGAAAAAAAAAAGGATTGAAAGAGTATCTATATCTGTATTTATTTAAAACAATTTTGTTGAGATTTACGTATAAAGTAAATCAATTCATTGAAAAATTGAAAATTTATATGTCGCTTTTCTTCCATTATAGTAGTCCCTCCATATGTGTGTCAAGATTCAATGGGAATTTGAGCCAAAAATCTCAAGGGAAATCGACTCAAAAATTCAAAATGCAGTAAAATTGATCTTAAAAGACCTCCAATTCAAAATCTATTTCTGTGGATCGGATGCTATTAAAACTAATCTCTATCTTTCAAAAATTAATTGATACAAGATCCTTTTACACTCTCGAGCATAAAGTCTCATACATGACAGTTGAAAAAAAAAAGAAAATCCTCCAAACAAAAACAATTTTTTTTGCGATTTTTTCCACCTTGGTCGAGAAGGAACTTATTTCTTCAACCCTAGTTGCGATAAGATCCCATTTTAACAACTATCTATTTCCTTGTTTCATGATTTAATCCTTTAGAAATGTTTACGTTTGGGAATCTTATTATATACAAATTTACAATAACAATCTAAGCTTTATATAAGATTGACTACGCAAATTATTTTTATTGTTCGACCATGGTTGCATATATATTATAAAGATAAAACTTGCTCTGAAGATGAACTTTTTACCTGGGATGAGCACTATTCTTCACAGCTTTCTGCCCATATTTTCGCCATTTGTATCCATCATCAAGAATGTCCTCTGCGCTTCTGGTATGAAAAGCAACCCTTGGTGGAATATATTTCTTCTTTCTTCCAGATTTCGCTTTATTTTTGTTTACATTCTCCCCTTCATTCGTGTTCCTAGAATTCGTCGATAAACTTGGAAAAACCGTGTTTTCGCCCCCATTAACCATGGAACCAGACAGCATGTTAGCCAGATCAAAATCTGAGGCATACTGAGAGTTGTTCATGGGTTGGTCTAAAAAGGACGGCGAATTCAACGAGGCCAACGGAAAAGAAGGCTCGAAAAGATAAGGGAAGTTTTCGCCTTCCATGCATAAGGTCGACAAAGATTCTAGTTAGATTTGGAGAGGGAAGGATGTTGTTGGATTCTAGATTGATGATCAAAGATTTATAGAGAGAGTTAGGTGGGCAAACAATTTATTGACTTGATGGACAAATGGATAAAGGGAAAACTTCCTTTTGAATGTAGGGAATGTGGCCTTAATTAACTTGTACCCTTGAGAAATTAAGCCAACCA